TCACGTCAAAAAAGGCTCAAAACCCTCAGTTTTTTACACTTTTGACTTCGAAATGTGCTTCGCGCCACAACGGCGTGCACTTTTTCGACACTTTTTCGACATCTGAGCCTCCAAAAGTGGTCCGAGACCGTCAGTTTTTAAAACTTTTGACTTGGAAATGTGCTTCGGGCCACAAGGGCGTGCACTTTTTCGACATCTCAACTTCCAAAAGTGGTCCGAGACCGTCAGTTTTTAACACTTTTGACTTGGAAATGTGCTTCGCGCCACAACGGCGTGCACTTTTTCGACATCGCAACTTCCAAAAGTGGTCCGACCTGAGGTGTTTTGTACATTTTGACTTGGAAATGTGCTTCGCGCCACAACGGCGTGCACTTTTTCAACATCTCAACTTCCAAAAGTGGTCCGAGAATGGTGTGTTTTGTACATTTTGACTTGGAAATGTGCTTCGCGCCACAACGGCGTGCAATTTTTCATCTCTCATTTGGCCAGCTGGCTCCGCACCCGCCGCTTTAGCGAGCCTACTTTTCGACCCTCCGGAGCCACAAATCATTGGAAAAACACAGTGAATCGCGACTTTCCTACCTTTTCGCGCATCTGTATCTTCTTTCTTCTGACTCTTTCTCTTCTACTCTTCTCTCTTCTCTCTGCATCTTCCCTGCTCTGCTTTTCATCTGTCCATATTGTCGGAAGTTTGACTTCTAAACTTCCTTCGATCATAATTGAATTGTGTTTTTGTTGGCTGATGTTTTGATGATTCTCCCATGCTGGAGCTGTGCCAAAAGGGGCCTAGAAAAACCCGAGGGACTTCGCTCGCGATGAAACATCTTGGAGATTTTGAGTTGAAGACAGTTGTTTTGCATATAGTTTTGTGCCGAGATATGAAAAGCCGCGCTGCGCTTCAGTTTTTTCTACTCAGATAGCATTGCACGTTGGATTTCCAGGTGATCAGGTGGCTGTTCCCTAGGCCGTCGAATGTTATTTTCGGAGCCCCCTGGGCCGTCGGGTTGCCGATGCCGATGCCTCGGCGCCAGGCCTTGGCCGCTGGGATCATCGAGAACCGAAGTCTGACGCTCCTTGGCCTCAGCTTATCCCTTCGCAACACACCGGGTGGCCAGGCGCTCGGGTCTGGGGCAGTGTAGGCCATGGGAGATGCGTCGGGTGCCGAAACCATTTAGGGTGCGACCTTCCTTTCAGTCAACCGAGATGTCTGTTTTAAACGAGTCAAAGTGACTTTCAAAGTGAAGTGGATGATTTAATTTTCAGAAAATTGTATTGATTCAGTATTGATCACAACAATTGGCTCTAGACTTTCGCAAGTGGTTCAGCCTCCGCATCTGTCACGTCTCAACAGAGAAGAGCTCCTCGGCGCGGCCAGGCTCTGGAAGAGGCGGAGGAGGTGAAGAAAGCGCGGGGCGAGGATTTCGAGATTGTGTGGCAGCTTGGCTTCGGCTCGAAAGAGTCTTTCACCAAGCTTCAAACTGATCGAAGCTGGTTGGGTTGATAAAGTTTGATACGAACCAAGTGTAGAAAGTGACTTAGTTTGTCTGGGCTTCGTTGGTGTTCTATTTTGAAACCACATTCAACTAGCAACTTGACCGAGTGCGCAGCGGGAAGAATGTGTTGGAACCACTCACTTTGCTGTGTCAATTTCCGTAAAGCCTTTCAGGCAGTTGGACACCCGGCCTATCCTGTTGGCTGTTGGGACGCTGCAAGTCTTCTGTTGACACCCGGCCTATCCTGTTGGCTGTTGGGTGTGCACCGAGGTGGTGAGATACGCAGGATCCGAAGTGACTTAAAAGCGATCAAGGCACCAACTGGCACGGCAGCTTGCCAGAAGGAGAAAAGAATCATTGATTGCCCCCCAAACAGGAATTTCTATCAGACCCTAGGGGCGCACAACATAACCATGAATACTTCAAACTTTGGAGTTTCAAAGCAAAACTTCAGTTGTGCCATGTTTTGCTTCATTCAACATGGGTTGATTTGAGTTTGGCTATTTTGATTCCACACGGTGATAGATCGCTGTTGGGTTTTTGTGTGTTTTCCTTTTGCTGACTCATTTTCCTTATGGTGTCTGCAACCTCATCTCAAAGTTTGGGATTGCAATAGCCTTCTATCTCGAATGATGGTGTCGTGAAATGGTGGTGTGTATTGCGCACGCAAGCCATAGTAGAAGCGAATTTGGAAAGTACAAGTGGCTGTTCACAATAAATACGGGCTGAGGAAATAGTCAACTCACTTGTTGAAAGTCAGACAGGTCACGAATGGAGGGGCGGGGTTGAAGTTGATTCAACCCAAGAATCAGGTTCAGCTGTGTCTCTTCGGATCTCGAGGCAATTGGACATCGACAAAGCCAGATGTCCTTGAAGCTTGGCTGTTTCCGGCGACTTTTGATTTCCTCCCTGCAGTGTTCAATCTTGGTTCATTGCGGCAGTTTACTTTGAAGGTGTGAATCTATACACGTGAAATGCTACCACAAAAACATCCCAAAGGTATTTGAACATCGCTCAGCCAGAAATCCTGATGTTTTTTCTGCAGCTAGCCTTGTCCAACGAAGAGTTGTTTTTTTCCTCTCACTCTTCCTTTCCCTTTTCATGTTCCGTTCCCATCCTTTTCCTGCTTCAAGATTGACTATGGCCTTCAAATGGGCAGCATCCCTCCCTACCTGTGGCGCGAGGTAATTGATTTCAAGAATTGTGAAGCTCGGCGCTGTTGCGAAGGGAATGCTGGCATGAAAGGGGTAGCCAAACATGCACTTCATATTGTCATTTTATTGCAGGTACTGTAAACTTCTGCACCGTTTGCACCCCCCAAATTTTCAGATATAGGTTCAACTCTCGGAAGACATCAAGATGTGTAACGAAGCAGAATCTTAGATTATCCTGGCAGGTTATGCCAAAGAGAACTGAAGTTGAGGATGCGAGAGTGAGAGAGACTTTCATATTTGAACAAAGAGTCCAAAACTTTGGAAGACAGAAAGGTAGATGTAGAATCTTTGACAGCTGTCAGCTGTGATGATGACTGTTCTTAGCTGCAGAGACGTAAAGGGCCCACGTGCTCTGCAAACTTCGTCAGCCTATGACATGACCAACATCTTGGAACACCAAGGCGCTGACTAATGGGTGGCGCTTCTGTTCCAATGGGATGTTGCAAGTGGAGCCGCGCCTGAAAAGACATCACACATCCTCAACCACCCTTGCTGATCAATCTTTGGAACAGACACCACCCTGTCCATAGTACTGGCTCACCCTTCTTTGAAGCCATGCATTCAGGCTGCAAGCGCATTGATGCAAAGGGTCAACACCAGGTCAGTACGTATAGTCTGAAAACAAATCAACCATCTGAAAGCACCAGTAATTACTTGTATTCAAAGAACGAATCACCAATCTGTTTGAATATATTTTGATTTCATCTTGGTTAAAAAGTCTTGGAGCAGCTCTGGCATCAGCTTCAGAAGGTTGCCGTTCTGCTTACGCAGACACGAGACTTTGCAAAATCATTGAATTGCTCTCGGTGTGCCGGTTTCTTGACTTCCTCCAATGATCGGCCTTCATCAAGTTGTGTGGAGATCATTGCTGAGCATGTTTGCCCCTCATCGCAAAGTAATTTTGTCTTACTGGCAACTCGTCATGACAGGGCATGGTTTTGAGTCATACACTTCACTACTTGCATCATCCGACTCTGAAAACGCGCAGTGTTTTGGCTCCACGGTTTCCGCTATAGAGGCTGGTTGGACAGTTTCCATGTCGCCAAATGTCAGCAAAACATACCCAAACTCACCTCTGCGGATTTTGTTTGTTTCACCTTCACAACTGTGCAGTGATCATATTGACCAAAATGGGAATGTTTTTGCACCTGTACGCGGGCTTTCAGAAACAGCGAAAGGAGCGGCAGCGTTAGTGGGGTTAGGGCTGTGCCGGAGGGAGGAAATCAGTGGATATGAGAAGAATACATGGTGCATTTGGATATTGCGCTGTAGACAAATCTGATCTATTGTTCACATCTTCAGTGAATCTTGTTATATCGGTTATATCATGTGGTAAACCCAATCAGAAGCCATCCCCAATTGTACCATTTCGGGTTAAAACCACACCGAGACTTGGGTGAAGAACATTTGGTTTACCACTTTATTCGATCATGCTTTGTGATGGTGCCCACAAGTTGAGAGATCAGGCTGCTTGACGTGTCCGGATTTGGTGAATTCGCACTCGCCAAAGAAGTGATCGTTTTCGTAAGTATACTTTAGATGAGATCAATACTCACCAAATTAATCACCAAATTGTTCCATTGAATCCGTTCATCCAGGGGTCTCAAGGTTCACCATGTTCACCATGTTCACCATGTTCACCATGTTCACCATGTTCACCATGTTCACCATGTTCACCATGTTCACCATGTTCACCATGTTCACCATGTTCACCACATCCCCATGGCGCTCCAGGACAACATCAGTCCTGATTGTATCCATAGCTATGCTTGGGTTGGCGTGAAAACATTGAAGCAATTCAGGTTGAGTGCGATTTACTAGAAAACTGTCCGACTCCCCAATAAGCAAGACTCAGATCTACTCTCGCTGACCTCCCACTCTATTTTGTTTCATGGATTTGTGTGAGGGTCATAGAAAAGGTTTGACGGGTCCGTACTGACGGACATAAAGACGACTGAACAATGGCCAGTGTTTCTTTAAACAACGACCAAAGTGCATGGCTTCCGAGCACATATGCAAGTGAACAGCACTGTTCAAGTCCTTTCATGTTATTCAATACAGACGGACCTTGAAAGCCCCAAAGATCAAGATCCACAGAGTGAGATCGTCAAGTGCTGAACAAACACCGTGTGGTCGCTTGGAAAAGTATGACGCCGCGCAGCATGTCATTCTTTCGCAGATTGGTTGTGATCTCTGACAAAAACGGAGACTAACTCAAAGTTTCTGCCGAATCGAAACAGCTTTGAGCCTTGCGACCTCCTACTGCGTGAAATTCACAGCCAGTTTTGGAAGCTCAAGGGCGCCCAGATAGAAACAGATTTGGACCTCCGACGTGGCGCCATGAAAATCCAGCAACTGAGCCTGATCTGCGCTGCGTTTGGTCTGAGTCTGCCAGAGATTCCTGACCTGCCGGATGTAGTTGAAATTGTCGAAAACGCAATCCATGGAAATTTTACCGCGCAGACCGTTGAGGAGCCAAAAGAGTTCCTTCCAACGATTGCAGAAATCAGAACCATGACGGATCAGGAAAGGGGTGACCGCTTCCATTGGTTTCTTTGTGTTTTTCTCCTGGTCTTTCTTTGTGTTGTTATCTCAGGGACCGTCATCATGGTCGTGGGAGCTGAATTCAAAGCATTCGGCTCGTACCAGGCTCTGGATCGGACCGCCCCACTGAGCAAAGGGGCTCAGCTACGGCTGGTCATGTTGAGCTTTGGTGGTACCGTCTTGTTGAGCTTCGCTGCATGTCTGTGGAGCCTCCAGACAGGAAGGCTCTCCAAGACATTCGGTTTGGCCTGGGAAGTTTATTTGTTGCTGTTTTGTTGTGCCGCTGCTTCCCTTCTCATCCAAGCTGTGCTGGCGGTGGCCTGGCTCAACAGAGGGGACCGCTTTGATGCTACTGCCTTTGCCGTGGCGTCATTTTCTTCCATGGCTCCCTTTTTATCTGATCAGTCTGACACTTTAAAAGATGTCATTTTTGGATGGCTTTGTTTGCAGTCACAACAGTTTTCCATGAAGATACTTGGCGTGTTGAGCTGGTCTTACTTATTGGCCTCCCACGCTTGGTTCTTTTATCTTGCAAGATATTCACGCCCTTTTCCCTATGAATTCGACCCAAATTCGGGTGATGCGCCGGGTGCAAACTGTTTTAACGAGCTGGCCACGAGTCACCTGTCAGTTTTGTTAATCGCCCCAAAGGTCCCGGGTGAGTGGTCCGGAGGTTGCTGGGAAGGGATTATCCTCCCCACAATCTACAAACAAGTGACAAAGAGCAAGCGCCACCACTTGCTCATTGAGAATGTGCCCCAGGCACTGATGTCTGTCCTGTTTTTGGCTGTTGAAGGTGGATCTTTTTTTGTCGCTGCCTTGAACCTAGTCATACCCGGAGTACAGGTTGCTCTCACCTTTTCATTGTTTAAGCCTGTGCGCGCGGCTGCGATCCCGGCGCTGGGAAAGAGGCTCAGCCGAGCCATGAAAAGTGGGAACACAGTGGCGGCCAAAGCATTGTGGGAAGAGGCCGGGCCCACAAGGTCTTTGATGAATTGCCGAGAAAGCTGCGGCATTGATAACGCGATAACGCATGCAATGCAAACAATGAGCCAGAACCTGTGAAACGCAGCTCGTTTAATCAATTAAGCTGAGATAGGTCTGATATCAGAACATACGACAACTAAACTGACCAGAGATGTGCAAAACAAGCCAACCTTTCACGATGGCGTCAAGCTTCCAGTCATTTCGAGTAACCAGCACCAGCAACACCTGCAGGCCGAAATCGAGGGCGACAGACAGCTTTTCGCGGAGATCCTGCCGCATTTGACGTTCTTTCTGGAAGTAACGAAGCACTGCGGCTTCATGAGCGAAGAGCTGAAGGACTCAATGCCCATGGGAAACCCACATTTACGGAATCTTGGAACACACTGGAAGTGTTGAGCATGTTGAGATGTTTTGGCCTTTGCAAAGTTTCGAGTTTGTGATGGAGCTGCTTTGCCAGCTGTGCGACCCCTCATAGTGGCAGGCAAACTGTTGTTTCCTTGGATTTGCTGCGCATGTTTCATGTCAATGAGGCAACATAGATCCTAACTACTGAAAGTCCCAGGTCACAGCTCAACAATGGTCACTTAAAAATAACGTGCTTTCAGGATCTTTCAAGTAGGATTTTGGCAGACTTCGAGCACCAGTTTTCACCCGACATGCGCAGGATCTCGACATGCTCAGTCATGAGGAGCTCGATGCGCTGCAGTGCATGGCAGCTGTGTTCGCAGGAAAGACCGAGTGCGGTCTCGACCACCGCAAGATCGGCGATTCCGGCGCCAAGGTGCCGCGGTGGAGTCTCCGGGTGCATATCCCATCTCGATGTTTTTCAGGGATTAATGCTGAGAAATTACACTAAACAAAAATATTAAAGAACTATTAAGAACTATTAAGAACTATTAAGAACTACTGTAATTAGTTGTTTTTGCCATGTTTTTGCTGATCTCGCTTTCCAGTCGGTGCATCTGTTTGCTATAATTGGACACTCGCCCAATAACATCATGGCAGGGGGATCGCAGGATTGAGTTGACCCTCGAATAGGCAGATATTAAGGCATCAAAATAATAGGCAGATATTTGGGCATCATAGATTTCTGATCTCAAAAATCATGAATTCTGTTGAAACATGTTGAAACTAGCTGTGGTGCGCAGATTTATCTCTCACCAGCCATCCAGGTGGTTAAAAGATGGCTCGCTCATGTCCAAAAAAGGTGTATCTTTTTTAAAGACAAGGGCCCAAATGTTCCATCGAGAAAGATGAGTCTACTGGGAGAGCTGTCCAAAGTGTCAGTATTTGTATTTGCAGGGAAGTGCCCGGCTATAACAAGAGAGAATAAGTGCCAAAAAACATTGTTTCAGCATGGAACGAGTGTTTTGCATGGTCATATTTTGGGTTTGTTATACCTGTCCCGAGTTTTCCACCATTGAAAAGCATCAGTTTCGATTTTCTGCGACCGGGCTGCCACAGGTTGTGGCGGAGGCTCTTAAGACCACCACAACGGAGGAGCTTGTCCTTAACAACAACGACATCGGGGAGCAGGGTGCGGAGGCACCTCTGCTGCCACTGAAAGAATATGGGTAGTGGTCTTGACAAGTGATCTTTCCTCCCGCAGGGTGATGCTGTCCACTTGATGGTGGGCACTCCTTAGATTTCCCCAAAAAATGTGTGTCCTGTTCTTCGCAGCGGTCAATCCCGACTCTTCCCCTACAGCAGACGGCCAGGCCCTGGCTGAAAGCCTTAAGAGCAACAAGAGATTGAAGGGCCTTTGGCTCGAGAACAACCACATCGGTGACCGTGGAGCTGAGGCGCCTGCAGCTGGGGCCTGCTGGTCTTGGGGGATCTAAGCGACAGTTTGGGTAGGGGCTGGAGATGTGGCAAGAAAGGCCAGGTGATCTTCAAAGAGGTTGGGCTGGGGGTTGGGCTGGGGGTTAAGTTTGTGTGAAACAGGAAAGGCGCGCGAGATGTATGGAGATGTTGCATAACTCAAATGAGGTAACGAGGTGGGGGTTCAGATTGCGAGATCAAGTAGGAGCAGTAGGAGGTTTATTTTTCAGTCCAAAAAGAGTCATAAGTCATAAGATGTCATAAGATTACCCAGTAATTCCAGTACATATTTAGATCTATTAGGGTTATTCAAATCCATCCGCTAGTCAGCAAAACATTCTTGCAGGGAGTGGTTTGGTCAGAAATGTGCCATTGTACCATTCGGCAACTGTTGTGGGTTGAGCAACCGGAGAAGCTCTCCTTAGTCCTTAGCAAAGCCGATGAAGCAGAACTAAACAATGCCACACACCACCTGATTCCTTTGTTCTGCGTTATAAATCTGTGTGGAGCAAACCAGATTGTTTTCTCTTGGGTGATTGCATGCTTGAAATTCAGGCGCGTCAACATATTGTTCTTTGCAAACTGTCTTTGATTCCGTCCAGTTGTTGTCAGTTTGGCCGCTGTGCAAATTTCCCCCGGCAGACGGCCAGGCCCTGGCTGAAGGCCTTAAGAGCAACGGAAGTTTGGGGTGGCTTGAGCTCCAGAACAACAACATCGGTGACCGTGGAGCTGAGGCGCCTGCAGCCGGGTTTGTCCAGCTGGGGCTGGAGATGTGGTAAGAAAGGCCAGGTGATCAGGTGATCTTCAAGGATTTCAAGGGGTTGGGGGGGTCAGGTTTGGGTGACAAAGGTGTGGAAGATGTTGCAGGCCTGTGATGCTTCACATTTCCCGACTAAGATATCGGTACAGTGGTACAGGGATTGGATACGTCGTTCGTTTGTGGGGCATTTGCAGGGTGTGATTGGTCAGAAGCTGTGTCGCCGTACGATTCGGCAACTGTTGTGGGTTGAGCAACCGGAGAAGCTCTCCTTAGTCCTTAGCAAAGCCGATGAAGCAGAACTAAACAATGCCACAGACCACCTGATTCCTTTGTTCTGTGTTATGAATCTGTGTGGCAAACCATATTGTTTTCTCTTGGGTGATCGCATGCTTGAAATTCAGGCGCGTCAACATATTGTTCTTTGCAAACAGTCTTTGATTCCGTCCAATTGTTTTCGGTTTAGGAAGAGCCACTGTGCAAACTTTTGGAGTCTATCTGACCGTTCGTGGCACCCAGACGGCCAGGCCCTGGCTGAAACCCTTGCGAGCACCGGAAGTTTGGGGTGGCTTGAGCTGGAGGACAACGACATCGGTGACCGTGGCGCTGAGGCGCCTGCGGCAGGTGTGGGAGATGTTGTAGGCCTGTGATGCTTCAACCTTCCTACTGTAGTACCAATGTGACATTATATGAGCATATATGAGCAATGAGTGAAGCAAGTTGAAGCATCGTTCGGCATTTGCAAGGGGTGGTTTGGTCATGAGCTGTGCTACTGTACAGTTCGGCAACTGCGGGTTGAGCAACCGCATAAGCTCTCCTCAGGTCATTCACAGAGCCAATGAAAAAGAGGCAACAATGGAAGACACCACCAGATTCATTTGTTTTTTTGAACTCTCGGTGATCGCACGATGAAAATTCAACCCGCTTTTTGCAGATGGTCATTGAGCAATCCTTCACCCTACATGGTAATTCCGTCCACTTCTTGTTGTTTTTTTGGAAGGGCCACAGTGCTGATTTCCCCTGAAGTGTTTCTCTACTTTTCCCCCCAACCGGCAGATGGCCAGGCCCTGGCAGAAAGCCTCAAGAGCAACGGAAGTTTGCGGTGGCTCTTCCTCAACTCCAACAACTTCGGTGACTGTGGAGCTGAGGCCCTGCTGGGGCCTGCTGGGGCCTGCTGGGGCCTGCTGGTTTTGGGGGGATGGGTGATGGTTTGGGTAGCTGGACTTTGCTGGAGATGTTGCCGGAAAGATCAAGTATATAGTTGGGAGTGAAGTCTATGACTATGTGAAAAAGGAGATGTGGCAGAGTTGTAGGTTAGTTCTTCCAAAGCTGAGCAGCTACATGTCACAGCATTGGTGGCTGTTCCTTTCAGTCGGAAGTTTCGGATCCGATGTCAAGTGCCAGGCCTTGGCCGCCGGGCTGCTGCAGAACCGAAGTCTCTGGAGACTTTCTCTCAGCGAATTTGGGTCCAATCTGTGGGGACCTTGGCCACCGGGCTTCCAGGCGCCTGTGGGGGGTTCAGTTAGGAGTAGGGTGTCGTGGGGGGGCGGCCAGGCATTGGAAGAGGCAGAGAAGATCAAACAGGAGCGGGGCGATGACTTCGAAATCTGGTGGCAGCTTGGCTACAGCCCAAAAATGCCCAAAAGATGTTCAGTATGAGCTACCCTCAGATGATTCATGCTTCATGATTCGATTTAATAGCATAAATTCGGGACGTGCAACTCTGCGGTGTGGGTCACCTGTATGGCACTAGGAAGCTCTGACGACTGGCGCACCCAGGATGTGAAACTGAGACGGGAATGGGTCCGAGGGCTTGGCTGAAAGGAACAGCTTGGCAGCAGAAAGTTGACGGCGAAGGTGTCAGGGATCTCAGACTGTTGTGCACAACATAAGCCATGAAGAGTTTGAGTTCAATAATGTTGAATAGTTTTCAACAAAACAAAGCCTCAGTTGCGCGTGCTGTTTTTCTTCAGCATGGTTTGATTCAAGTTTGATTCTGAACATGATGACAGGTGTCGTTCTTCTTGAGCTGCAACTGTTGACCTTTGCGTGCTTTCCTTCTGCCGACCCGTCAAGTAGCATGTCAGTTTGTCAAGTGCTGGTATCGTCTTGTGAAGTCTTGGAACCCATCTAGCACGCACAGCAATTGAACATTGCGTTATGAAACCAGAAGGTGCTTATTCACCATGAATGAACACAGACTCGGACAACAATTGAACTTACGAGAGAATCCAAGGTTACCCAAGCACATTCATAACGCAGGCTAGCTATGGCTAGCGCATATTGAACGATTGGAGGGGTTTGGATCTTGAGGCCATTGGACATCCAGCAGTTGCTTGGCTGTATTCGGGAGGGCTGCTTGTGTTCATTGCAGTTGACTTTCACAGATCCGAAGCATGCAATAAAACATAATAAACACATTATGGTTTTACTTCGGCATGGTCAGACTGTTGCACCCCATGTGACTTGTGTTTGCCTTTTTGGAATGTCCCTGGCGAGGCAACTGATTTTAAGAATTGAAGCTTGGCATGGAGTATTTGGAGAAAAACAACCCTTCAAATCATCATGCAACTTACAGGTATTTTACCGCGCAGAAGTTTGCAGTGTAGGTTGCTTTCCTACTTGACTTCAGCCAGTACTTGGAATTGCAGGTTCTGTCACAGAATTGAAGTGGAGACTGGGAATGTGAAATTGAGAGACCTTTACAGCAAACAAAGAGTCCCAAGCTCTGGAATATTGGGAACCTTGAGGATTTTTGAGTACTCGTAGCCATGATGACTGTTGCAACTGTAACAGAGACACCAAAAGCATTAATTGCTGTATGTACAAGGTTTGTACAAACATGTGAGATGCATCCATGAAATATGGCCCAACATCTTGGAACACCAAGGCGCTGGCAAATGACGGGTGGTGCTTCTGTTCCAACGAAGTCCCAAGTGGATAACTGTTCCTGGTACCAGTTGGAAAGAAATTAAGGAAAGCATGCGCATGCTCAACTAGCGTGGCTTTCTAATCACTCTGTGGAACAGACGCGACCTTTCCCTTGGAACTTGTCAACGCTTTATTCGAAGCCATGCGTTTGAGCTGCGAATGTCTGAATGCAAGGCATCAACATCAAGCCAATGTAATATGATATATCATATGATGATTAAATATAGAGTTGAGTGAAACTTGGCTAAGTCTATGAAGTTATTGAATGTGGCAGCTCTGGCATCAGCTTCAAAGGTTTGCAGTTCTGCTTCAGCACATATTGGAGGTGCCAAGCGTATCGAAGAAAAGATCGAATTGCGATCGCTGCACATTTTCTTGCCTCTTTCCTCCAATGATCCACATTCATAAAGGTCTGTGGAGATGTTTTCCTGGGCACATCAAACATGACATTTAGCACTCATGACTGACATATCTCTGACAGGATGATATTGCATCATGCTGGGTTTGTTGATGCGTTTTAGGCCCGAAAGGTGGTGCGAAGGTTGAAACTTTCGCCACTGGGCTGGAGAGTTTCCAGTGCCTGTACCATGTTACCAAAACATAGCAAAACTATGCAAAAATCACTTCGGCAGGGATATTTTTTCCGTGGTGAGAGTCGCGCCTGGGGCTGACAGACACATCGAAAGGAGCGCCAGCATAGGTTTGGGGGAGAAACTGTGGGGTTTTGTTTGACTGCATTGATGCAGGCTGCGGAGAGAATCATTGGATATGTTTGATGCAAACATGGTGCAATTGGATGTCGCGTTGGACCACTTGCTGAACAATTGTTCACATTTGCGGTGCATCCTCTTAATGTGTCGAACCCAAGCCGCATAAACCACTCCCAATTTTAGCACTTCAGGGTATAAAGTATTATAAGCGATTAAGATTCAGATATGCTTTTAAAGGTGCCAAAAGAGAACAAACTGGTTGGAGTGTCCGCTTTTGGCTTCTAAATACTAGACTACACCAATTCTGGGGGATTCGGTGAATTCGCAGTTCCAAGAAGGTCATCATTGTTTGTGCAGAATCGTTGTCGGTGACATTCCAGCTGTTTCTCCATCAACAATTAGGATTTCTGTAAGTCCAGATCAAGATCAGATGAAATCAATGCAGCTGATGAATTTCTGGTGGTTTCAAACATGACTGGATTATTTTCCAGAATATATGGGATGTCATCCTTCCCATTGACGAACTCCATCATTTTTCAGAGTGGTAGGTATACCACCAACCAGATTTCCATGAATTTTCCTTCATTCAGAGGCAAGGTGCCCCACACATGCCAAAATCCCATGGCCCTCCAGGAGTGCCCCATGGCAGTCGCAAGGCCCGGGCTCCCGCTAGGGCTGCTGGGGAGGCTGTCAAAATTTGGCCACCCGCTTAGGTGGGGCGATTTTGACCTTGTTCATGGACTTAGAGCAATTTATATCCTAAGAAAAATATCTAAGTCGATAGAAATAATGGCTATTTAATGCCGAAACAGAGAATCAAACGTATAAGACAGCAACTTCAGCACTAAGATATGACATGTTGCTGTTAACCTATCTTTTTGAGGGTGTCATCTTAAGCCTGAGGCAGGTACTTGCTATATTTGCTCAAGCAAGCTGAAAAAAATGGTGTGAAATGCACTTGGTCACCTGGCAAACTGGAGTTTGGAATCATGACCCGCGCCGTCTGGCAATCTAGTATGACAAGCAGAAATTCGATATTTACATCGGAACTGATGCAGTTGGATTTTTTGTCTTTCAGCAAACAAATTCATTGCATTCTACCATGAGTCACTGACATACGGGAGTGTCGCAAGAGTGCCGATCTGTTTGGAGTGTCCGCTTCTTGCTTCAAAATACTGCTCCCACTAGGGCGCACCTACGCGTGCAAACATAACATAATTTTTGAAGATGTCAGCATTTTTGGTCTTACGCAGTCCCATTCCTGGTAATCACGTTCCGCGCTCCAGGAGTGTTCGTAGCAACCCCAGGCTCGGCAGAGAGATGGTAATTAATCTTAGGACCAAACAGGTTGCAGGTTTCTCACATCCACTATCAATGGATTCCCGCATCGCACATTTCGTTGGATTTTTGGGACGGTTTTCTTCAGTTGCCCAGGGCAGTGTTTGCTATTGGTAGAGGAAATGATGTTTCAGTGGATGTCGTCTTAACCTGGAGCTGCAAACAGGCTGAGGTGTTTTATTTTTGCCTGCACAAGTGGGCTGAAGAAAGTACACGAGCGCTGCCACTCAGTCCTGTGGATGGCCGTAAAATGTCTGAAATCGCACTGAGTCATTCGCATGCCGGTTTCTGAACCATCAGCAGGAAGATTAGCTTGGCTGGTGGGGAGGTCCCATGCTCTCTCTGCCACGACATCACGAACTTTGAGAGCAGTTTGCAGAGGCCATTCCTTGGATTCCATACATGGCGATGCTTGGAAAGTTGCAGGTGTGAACATATTGAAGATTATTCAGCTTTTAGGGCTCAATGTTTCAAAACACAATGGGGATAAACAGTGGCCCGTGTTTCTTTAAATAGCAAACGGCTTCCAAGCTTCGACACATATGGACCTTGAAAGCAGGGAAGATTCAAAGAGTTGAGAGCGCCAAGTGCCAAAGAATCACCGTCTGCTCGGAAAAGAATCACAGTGCTGCGCAGCATCTCCAGGATCTCATTCTTTCGCAGATTGGTTGTGATCTCTGACAAACTCTGAGGCTAACTGGGGGTTTCCATAAATGGGGGTACCCCAAAATAGATGGTTTATCAGTTTATCATGGAAAATCCTATTCAAATGGATGATTTAAAATAGATACTTGAGGCTAACTCAAAATTTCCAACAGCTTTGAGCCTCATAACCTCCTACTGCGTGAAGCTGACACACCCATGGCTCATGCCTTCACTTTCCGTGGCCAGTTTTGGAAGCTCAAGGGCGCCTGGATAGAAGCAGATCGAGACCTCCCAAGGTGGCGCCATGAAAATCCAGCTGCTGAGCCTCGTTTCTGCTGCTGTGGCTCTTTCGCTGCCTGAGATGCCTGCCCTGCCGGATTTAGTTGGAATCGTAGAGAATTCTTTCCATGGAAATTTTACCGCGCAGACCGTTGAGGAGCCAAAAGAGTTCCTCCCAACGATTGCAGAAATCAGAGCCATGACGGATCAGGAAAGGGCAGAACGCTTCCATTGGTTTCTTTGTGTTTTTGTGGCGGTGTTTCTGTCTGTTACTATTGTGGGAACCGTCATCATGGTCGTGGGAGCTGAATTAAAAGCATTCAGCTCCTACCAGGCTCTGGGTCAGACCGCCCCACTGAGCCAAGGAGCTCAACTACAGCTGGTCATGTTGAGCTTCGGCAGCACGGTATTGTTGAGCTTTGCTGCAACTCTGTGGAGCATGGAAAACGGAAGGCTGTCCAAGACACTGGGCTTGGACTGGGAAATTTATTTGTTGCTGTTTTGTTGTGCCGCTGCTTCCCTGCTAGTCCAAGCCGTGCTGGCGGTGGCCTGGCTCAAAGCGGGTGACCGCTTTGATGCCGCAGCTTTTGCTGTGGCTTCATTTTCCTCCATGGCACCGTTTTTATCTGACCAGTGGGACACTTTGAAAGACATCATTTTTGGAGGGCTTTGTTTACAGTCACAGCACGTTTTCATGAAGATAGTCGGAGTGTTGAGCTGGTCGTACCTAGTAGCCTTCCATGCCTGGTTTTTTTATCTTGCAAGATACCCACCTCGCGATTGGTTCGACCGTTTAAGAAGGGGTGCACTGGGTGCAAACTGTTTTAACGAGCTGGCCACGAGTCACCTGTCAGTTTTGCTAATCGCTCCAAAGGTCCAAGGTGAGTGGTCCGGAGGTTGTTGGGAAGGCATTATCCTCCCCACAATTTACAGACAAGTGACAAAGAGCAAGCGCCACCACTTGCTCATTGAGAATGTGCCCCAGGCATTGATGTCTGTCCTTTTTTTGGCTGCTGAAGGCGGATCCTTTTTTGTCGCTGCCTTGAATCTAGTCATACCCGGAGTACAGATTGTTCTCACCTTTTTATTGTTTAAGCCTGTGCGCGCGGCTGCGATCCCGGCGCTGGGAAAGAGGCTCAACAGAGCCATGAAAAGTGGCAACACTGTAGCGGCCAAAGTGTTGTGGGAAGAGGCCGGATCCACCAAAGGGTCTATTCACAGGTTTGATATCAGAACGAATGGTATAGATATATCTAGTCCCTTTCACGATGGCGTCAATATTCCAGTCTCAGCACCAGCAACACTCTGTCTCATGTCTATCTCATGTCCCAGACCTGCGCAGGTAGAAATCATGGATGATGACGGGATGTATGACAGGCTGATGCGTCTTACAGACGCAGAAATCATGGATCACAGCCAGCTTTTCGCGGAGATGCTGCCGCATTTGACCTTCTTTCTTGATGTAACGAAGCGCTGCGACTTCATGAGCGAAGAGCTGAAGGACTTAGTTCGCTATGGAACCAGCATTTCCGGAAGCTTGCAACTGATACTCAGGAAGTGTTGTGCATGTTGAGATTTAGGCTTTTGGATATGAACTTAGCTGCTTGGCCAGCTGTGCGACCCTTTGTCTCGTAGCAGGCAAACAGACTTTCATTCCTGCAATTTGCTACGGCTGGAAGTGCAGGGTCACAAGCCCACAAGTCAACAAAGGTTGAACTTGTTTCCTGTGCAGGACCTCGACAAGCTCAGTGACGAGGAGCTCGAGATCCTGCAGCGCATGGCAGGTGTGTTCGCCGGGCAGGCGGGGGACGGGGCTCTGGGGAGTCGGTGTGTTGGAGTCGGTGGATCACAACTTGCGGAATTCAGGAGGGGAAGCCTAGTCGGAGCATGTCACGGGGTGGGCCTTTTTGAGGGGACCCGTCTGAAAGGAGAACGATCTCCGAGACCAGCAGATCGGCGATTCCGGCGCCAAGGTGCGGTGTTGGAGTCTCCTGGGCCGAAGCCGGGGGCCATGTTTCTCTGGGAAAGGGATGGTTTGATATCCCATCTCGGTATATCTGGGTGATTTCATTTTGCTGCTGTTTTGCTGATCTCGCTTTCCAGTCAGTGCTATATTGGACTCTTAACAACTCAGTAAATTCATGCGTGACAAGATTCAAAAGTAGATATGCACTTGGTGCGCAGCAATTCTGAGATTCCATCCAAATGACGCAGCGAACCAGTGTGCAAAGGCTATGCTGTGGCCCTTTTCAAATCCTATTGGGATCACATGCCGGTCAGAGCATGCTGCAGGTATGGTGCACTGTAATAGGTTTCTGATCTTCTGATCTCACAAATAATGAAGTGTGTTGACACCAACTGTGCTGTGCTGATAAATCTCTCAGCAGCGAAATAGGTGCTCAAAGGGTCGGTCGCTCATGTCCCACAAGTGCCAATTGTTCTAGACGAGGGCCAAATGTTCCATCGAGAAAGATGGATCTACTGTGAGAGCTCTTCAAAACGCCAATGCACATATTTGTATAGGTGCCTAGAGCAGGAATTTTCAACATGGAACGAGTGCTTCGCAGCGCGATATTTAGGGGCTTGCGACGAACCCTGAGTTTCTGTTGAACGCATCTTGAAATTTGAAATCTGCACCCCGTTGATGGATCCTCTGCATACCCATCGGGACACGTGGGAGGGAGCTGCCGCAGGTCTTGGCGGAGGCTCTGAAAAGCAGCACCGCCAAAAGGGTTGACCTTAGCTGCAACAAGATCGGGGACCAGGGTGCCGAGGCATCTCTGCTGCGACACGCTGCGGGTTTGAGGAGAGATTTTTGCAATTTTTTTTGCCAGTTCTTGAGGCCCTGGATTGGCAAATCTTGAAAATGCGAATTCTGGAACTTCCCCAACAGGAGATTGAGTGGCTGCAGAGAAATAGTGGTCTTGACAGGTGGTCTCCTCCCACCGATTCTGTATTTTGGGCGCTGTATTCTGTAGATATGCTCCGATGTGTTCTGTGCTTCCCCAGGTGGGTTTTGGACTTTGTTGGAGATGTGACAAGATTAGTAATCTTCAAGGGATTGGTGAAGTTTGTGTGAAAACGGAAAGATGTCATTGTAGAGATCTTGTAGGTCAGCTCCTTTGAAGCCGAGCCGCTACGTGTCACAGCATTGTTGGCTGTTCCTTGAAGTCGGATGTTTGGATGGCGAATTTTGAAAATGCGAATTTGAAATAATTTGAAGACTTCCCCAGCATGAGAGGGAGTAGCTGCAGAGAAACAGTGATCTTGACAAGTGGTCTCCCAGTGATTCTGTCCACTGGATGTTGGGTACTCTGTAACTTTGCCCCGTTGTGTGCTCTGTTCTTAACCAGGTGGGGGAGAAGGGGTGAATCCCACCTGTTTCCCCTCGGCACGAGTTGGCCAGGCCCTGGCTGAAAGCCTTAAGACCAATGGAAGTTTGGGGTTGCTTTACCTCCATGACAACAACATCGGTGACCGTGGAGCTGAGGCACCTGCGGCTGAACGCCTGCTCGCCGGTGTTGGGGGATGAGAAATAGTTTGGGGTAGTTGGACTTTGTTGGAGATGTGGCAAGATTAGTAATCTTCAAGGGATTGGTGAAGTTTGTGTGAAAACGGAAAGATGTCATGTAGAGGTCTTGGAGGCCAGCTCCTTTGAAGCCGAGCCGCTACGTGTCACAGCATTGTTGGCTGTTCCTTGCAGTCGGATGTTTGGATGGCGAATTTTGAAAATGCGAATTTGAAGACTTCCCCAGCATGAGAGGGAGTAGCTGTTTCTCTGGATCTTGACAAGTGGTCTCCCAGTGATTCTTTCCACTGGATGTTGGGTACTCTGTAAGTTTGCCCCGATCCGTGCTCTGTTCTTCACCAGGTGGGAAGAGGGGGGTGAATCCCGCCTGTTTCCCCTCGGCACGAGTTGGCCAGGCCCTGGCTGAAAGCCTTAAGACCAATGGAAGTTTGGGGTTGCTTAAGCTCCAAAACAACAACATCGGTGACTGTGGAGCTGAGGCGCCCGCGGCTGGAATGCCTGCCTGCTGGTGTTGAGGGATGAGCAACAGTTTGGGGTAGTTGGACTTTGTTGGAGATGTGGCAAGATGAGTAATCGTCAAGGGATTGGTGAAGTTTGTGTGAAAACGGAAAGATGTCATGTAGAGGTCTTGGAGGCCAGCTCCTTTGAAGCCGAGCCGCTACGTGTCACAGCATTGTTGGCTGTTCCTTGCAGTCGGATGTTTGGATGGCAAATTTTGAAAATGCGAATTTGAAGACTTCCCCAGCATGAGAGGGAGTAGCTGTTTCTGTGGATCTTGACAAGTGGTCTCCCAGTGATTCTTTCCACTGGATGTTGGGTACTCTGTAAGTTTGCCCCGATCCGTGCTCTGTTCTTCACCAGGTGGGAAGAGGGGGGTGAATCCCGCCTGTTTCCCCTCGGCACGAGTTGGCCAGGCCCTGGCTGAAAGCCTTAAGACCAATGGAAGTTTGCGGACACTTGGCCTCCAGAACAACAACATTGGTGACCGTGGAGCTGAGGCACCTGCAGCTGAACGTCTGCTCGCAGGTGTTGGGGGATGAGCAACAGTTTGGGGTAGTTGGACTTTGTTGGAGATGTGGCAAGATGAGTAATCTTCAAGGGATTGGTGAAGTTCGTGTGAAAACGGAAAGATGTCATGTAGAGGTCTTGGAGGCCAGCTCCTTTGAAGCCGAGCCGCTACGTGTCACAGCATTGTTGGCTGTTCCTTGCAGTCGGATGTTTGGATGGCAAATTTTGAAAATGCGAATTTGAAGACTTCCCCAGCATGAGAGGGAGTAGCTGCAGAGAAACAGTGATCTTGACAAGTGGTCTCCCAGTGATTCTGTCCACTGGATGTTGGGTACTCTGTAAATTTGCCCTAATGTGTGCTCTGTTCTTAACCAGGTGGGGGAGAAGGGGTGAATCCCACCTGTTTCCCCTCGGCACGAGTTGGCCAGGCCCTGGCTGAAAGCCTTAAGACCAATGGAAGTTTGTGGTGGCTTGGCCTCGAGAACAACAACATCGGTGTCCGTGGAGCTGAGGCACCTGCGGCTGAACGCCTGCTCGCCGGTGTTGGGGGATGAGAAATAGTTTGGGGTAGTCGGACTTTGTTGGAGATGTGGCAAGATGAGTAATCTTCAAGGGATTGGTGAAGTTTGTGTGAAAACGGAAAGATGTCATGTAGAGGTCTTGTAGGTCAGCTCCTTTGAAGCCGAGCCGCTACGTGTCACAGCATTGTTGGCTGTTCCTTGCAGTCGGATGTTTGGATGGCAAATTTTGAAAATGCGAATTTGAAGACTTCCCCAGCATGAGAGGGAGTAGCTGCAGAGAAACAGTGATCTTGACAAGTGGTCTCCCAGTGATTCTTTCCACTGGATGTTGGGTACTCTGTAAGTTTGCCCCGATGTGTGCTCTGTTCTTAACCAGGTGGGGAGAGGGGGTGAATCCCAACTGTTTCCCCTCGGCACGAGTTGGCCAGGCCCTGGCTGAAAGCCTTAAGACCAATGGAAGTTTGCGGGCGCTTGGCCTCCAGAACAACAACATTGGTGACCGTGGAGCTGAGGCACCTGCAGCTGAACGTCTGCTCGCAGGTGTTGGGGGATGAGCAACAGTTTGGGGTAGTTGGACTTTGTTGGAGATGTGGCAAGATGAGTAATCTTCAAGGGATTGGTGAAGTTCGTGTGAAAACGGAAAGAGGTCATGTAGAGGTCTTGTAGGTCAGCTCCTTTGAAGCCGAGCCGCTACGTGTCACAGCATTGTTGGCTGTTCCTTGCAGTCGGATGTTTGGATGGCAAATTTTGAAAATGCGAATTTGAAGACTTCCCCAGCATGAGAGGGAGTAGCTGCAGAGAAACAGTGATCTTGACAAGTGGTCTCCCAGTGATTCTGTCCACTGGATGTTGGGTACTCTGTAAGTTTGCCCCGATGTGTGCTCTGTTCTTAACCAGGTGGGGAGAGGGGGTGAATCCCAACTGTTTCCCCTCGGCACGAGTTGGCCAGGCCCTGGCTGAAAGTCTTAAGACCAATGGAAGTTTGGGGTTGCTTCAGCTCCAAAACAACAACATCGGTGACTGTGGAGCTGAGGCGCCCGCGGCTGGAATGCCTGCCTGCTGGTGTTGAGGGATGAGCAACAGTTTGGAATAGTTGGACTTTGTTGGAGATGTGGGCAAGATGAGTAATCTTCAAGGGATTGGTGAAGTTTGTGTGAAAACGGAAAGATGTCATGTAGAGGTCTTGTAGGTCAGCTCCTTTGAAGCCGAGCCGCTACGTGTCACAGCATTGTTGGCTGTTCCTTGCAGTCGGATGTTTGGATGGCGAATTTTGAAAATGCGAATTTGAAGACTTCCCCAGCATGAGCGTGAGTAGCTGCAGAGAAACAGTGATCTTGACAAGTGGTCTCCCAGTGATTCTGTCCACTGGATGTTGGGTACTCTGTAAGTTTGCCCCGATGTGTGCTCTGTTCTTAACCAGGTGGGGAGAGGGGGTGAATCCCAACTGTTTCCCCTCGGCACGAGTTGGCCAGGCCCTGGCTGAAAGCCTTAAGACCAATGGAAGTTTGGGGTTGCTTTACCTCCATGACAACAACATCGGTGACCGTGGAGCTGAGGCGCCCGCGGCTGGAATGCCTGCCCGCTGGTGTCCGGGGATGCGCGACGCTTTGGGTAGCTTTTGGACATTCAGTCTGTTCTTGAGTACAGCATTGAGCAATGAGTGAAGCAACTTGATATGTCGTAGCATCGCGCGGCATTTGCAGAGCGTGTTTTTGGTTAGGAACGAACTGTGCCATTGTGCACTTCGGCAACCGTCGGTTGAGCAACCGTCTCCGGATGTCACAGAGCCAATGAAGCAGAGACAAGGGGACTCATCACCAGATTCATTTACCCTCTGGTAATTTAACATAGCTATTGAAAATGACCATTTATAGTGGATTTACCCATTGAACATGGTGATTTTCCATGGTTATGTTAGTTTACCAGAGGGTAATCAATTTGTTTTGAAAACTCTGGGTGATCGTAGGGATTGAAATTCAGTTCATTTTTTGCAAATGGTCCGGTGGTTGAAAGCTTATTTAGTAGCGATCCTTCGCCCGACATGGTGATTCCCTCCACTTGTTGTTGATGTTGTTGGCTTGGGAAGAGCCCTGCCCTTAAATCGATTTGTTTCTGTGCGTTGCCAGGCCAGGGTAGGTGTCAATTCCGACTGTTCCCCCATGGTACCCAGACGGCCAGGCCCTGGCTGAAAGCCTGACGAGCAACAGCAGTTTGGAGAAGCTTTGGCTCGAAAACAACAGCATCGGTGACCGTGGAGCTGAGGTGCCTGCGCTGGAATGTTTGCCCACTGGTGTCGGGGGATGAGTGGCAGTTTTGGGTAGGTGTTGGACATTCAGTGCGTTTTTTGACTACAACAATTTGAAATGTCGTAGACTTGTGAGGCGTTTGCAGGGAGTTGTTCGAATAGAAACTCGGCCACTGTACAGTTCTGCAACTGTCGGGCGAGCAGCCTTAAAAGCCAGAAGCTCTGCTTTTAGGTTATTCATGGTTATTCACAGAGCCGATAAAACAGAGCCAAGCCAAGCATCAACAGATTCGTTTGTTCTGCACATACAATCTTTGAGAGATTATATACTTGGAAACAATCCTTCCCCCCGACATGGTGATTCTATCCACATGTTGTTAGTTTGGGAAGAGCCACAGTTCAGATATCCCCTGATGTGTTTCGTGCCTCGCCAAGCCAGGATAGACGTCAATCCCGCCTGCTTTCCCCTCGGCACGAGTTGGCCAGGCCCTGGCTGAAAGCCTTAAGACCAATGGAAGTTTGAAGGAGCTTTACCTCCAGAACAACAACATCGGTAACCGTGGAGCTGAGGCACCTGCGGCTGAACGCCTGCTCGCTGGTGTTGAGGGATGAGCAACAGTTTGGGGTAGTTGGACTTTGTTGGAGATGTGGCAAGATGAGTAATCTTCAAGGGATTGGTGAAGTTTGAGTGAAAACGGAAAGATGTCATGTAGAGGTCTTGGAGGCCAGCTCCTTTGAAGCCGAGCCGCTACGTGTCACAGCATTGTTGGCTGTTCCTTGCAGTCGGATGTTTGGATGGCAAATTTTGAAAATGCGAATTTGAAGACTTCCCCAGCATGAGAGGGAGTAGCTGCAGAGAAACAGTGATCTTGACAAGTGGTCTCCCAGTGATTCTGTCCACTGGATGTTGGGTACCCTGTAAATTTGCCCAAATGTGTGCTCTGTTCTTAACCAGGTGGGGAGAGGGGGTGAATCCCGCCTGTTTCCCCTCGGCACGAGTTGGCCAGGCCCTGGCTGAAAGCCTTAAGACCAATGGAAGTTTGGGGTTGCTTCAGCTCCATGACAACAACATCGGTGACCGTGGAGCTGAGGCACCTGCGTCTGAACGCCTGCTCGCCGGTGTTGGGGGATGAGAAATAGTTTGGGGTAGTTGGACTTTGTTGGAGATATGGCGGGAAAGGTGAAGATCAAGTGGTTGGGCATGAAATTTGTGTGAAAAAGGATAGATGTGGTTAGTACTTCCAAAGCCAAGTAGCTACATGTTAGATTTTTTTGGGGTTGGGGTATGAAGCTTGCATGAGAAAGGAAAGGTGTGGGAGATGTTGTGGGTTGGTTCTTCCAAAGCCGAGCCGCTACTGTCATGATTTCCACTGGGATCTTGACGGGGTCGGGGGTGAAGTTTGTGTGAGAAAGGAAAGGTGTGCGAGGTACGGTAGAGGTCAGCTCCTTTGAAACCGAATTGCTGTCGCAGCATTGGTGGCTGTTCCTTGCAGTCGGAAATTCGGATTTTCCGGACCCCTGCGCCGTCGGATCCAATGCCAGGCCTTGGCCGCCGGGCTGCTGCAGAACCGATGTCTTTCTTATATTTCTCTCAGTTGGGACTGTGGATACAGGCTGTGGGGACTTTGGCGCACACAGGGCCGCGAGGCGCCAGTTGGGGTCCGGAGAGGAGAGGAGTTGGGTGTTGACCTTCTTGTTTTTTTGTCGACTGAGATGTGATTTGTATATTTGGGATAAGTCGGGGTGAGCTTCAAAGTGAACATAGTGAACACTTGATTCTGCACTCGTGCAGTGTCAAAATGTATCCACATTTGAAAACGTCTTGAGAGACTAGCTCCCAGCTCGGCACTGGGCAGGCATTGGAAGAGGCAGAGAAGATCAAACAGGAGCGGGGCGATGACTTCGAAATCTGGTGGCAGCTTGACTATGGCCCAAACGATGCTCAATATCACTTACCAGAAGCTGATCCAATACCAACAATTTGTAGAAGTGACGCAAATCTGCCGTGTGAGCTACTTGTATTGTGAAGAAGGAAGATCTGTAGAAACAACCAACTCCCCTGTTTTGGTCAAACTCCGTGAAGAACGTTGGACAGTTGTTGTTGCCGGTGAACCCAGGAAATGAAACCGCGAAGACGGGAATGGATCCCAGGGCTTGGCTGCTGCAATGTGGACCATCCGGCATGAAAAGAAACGACAGAGATGGCATGGCAGCTTGGCAGCAGAAAGTTCACGGCGAAGGTGTCAGGGATCTCCATCAGACTGTAGGTGTGCACAACACGAGCCATGAAAAAACAATAAAACACTAGTTCAATAATGTTCAATAGTTTTCAACGGAGCATGAGAAAAGCCTCAGTTGCGCCATGTTTTGCTTCGTTTAGCATGGCTTGATTTGAGTTTGATTTTCATTGATTTTCAACGCGATGACAGATGTCGTTCTTCTCTAGCTGCAGCTGTTGGCCTTTGCGTGCTTTCCTTTTCTCTGACCCTTTTTCCTTTTATAGCATGTCTACAACCTCGGCTCAAAATGTGGTAGTGTAATGGTCGATATCCAGATATGTTCATTTCAGTACCCGCAACCTTGTGCCACATTGCCTGATCCCTGCAATCTGGTGTTGGTCGACCTGTGCAACTCGAAGTTCTCATGCAGCAAAGTTCAATCACTTTGAGTGCAAGTACCATGCCGGTTTCTCACATAGTGATACCTTCCTGTGAAACCTTGGAACCCATCTAACACGGACAGCGATTGTATGTTCGCTTTTAACCCAGAAGGTGTTTGCTCACAACGAAGGAATACATGCTCCTAGTCATTCCTAGTCCTAAAAAATGAGTCATGGTAGAGTCCAAAGTTACCCAAACACATTGGCAATGCAAGCTAGCGGCGCATGTTTCACGATTGGCAGGTTTTCGTTGAAGTACATTGAATCACTTAGCTGTTTTTGCGTTGGATCTCCAGGCCATTGGATGTCAAGCAACAGTTGCTTGGCTGCACCCTGCGAGAATAGCTGCTTGTGTGCATTGCAGCAGTTGATTTTAGGTAAAATGGTCATACCTGTGACATCACCTTGTGCATTGCAAATCCGAAGCATATCATAAATTCATAGTGGTTTTGCTTAGGCACGGTCGGACTGTTGCACCCTATGTGTCTTGTGTTTGCCTTTTTGGTATGTCCCTGGCGAGGCAACTGATTTTAAGAACTGAAGCTTGGCATGGAGTATTTGAATAAACACACCCTCCAATTCGTCATGCAACTACAGGGATTCTACTGCCCAGAAGTTTGCGTGGTAGGTTTGCCTTCCTGTTTGAAATCAACCAGTGCTTGATATTTCAGGTTTTGCCACAGAACTGAAGTTTAGACTGTGGACTTGAGAGACCTTCATAGTAACATAAGAGTCCCAAGCTTTGGAATATTGGGAACTTTGATTATTTTGGAGATCCGTGATCATTGATGACTGGTCCCACATAGTATAGACACAAAGGGCCCAGTGGCTGTGTGTACAGATTTGCGAAAACCTTTGAGGATCCATGACATGACACAGCCCACTAACATCTTGGAACACCGAGGCACTGACAAATGACGGGTGGTGCTTCTGTTCCAACGATGTTCCAAGTGGAGAACCGTTCCTGGAGCCAGTACGAAAGAAATCAAATAAATCGTACGCATCCTCAACTAGCTCGGCTTGCTAATGGCTCTGTGGAACAGACGCGACCTTTCCCTTGGAACTTGTCAACTCTTTATTTGAAGCCATGGATTTGAGCTGCAAGTGTGTGAATGCAATGCGTCAACACCAAATCAAGATATAATTCAATATACATGTTGAATGAACTTAGCCAAATCCAAGACGTTATTGAGTGCGGCAGCTCTGGCATCAGCTTCAATGGGTTGCAGTTCTGCTTCAGCGCACATTAGAGGTACGAAACGCATCGAAATCAAATCAAAAGGATCGATTCACGTTCGATGTGCATCTTGACTCTTTCCTCCAATGATCTGCCTTCACAAAGGTGTGTATGGAGACGTTTTCCTCGTCACATTTTAGTACTCATGACCTAAGAATTCTCACGACGTATCTATCATATCTCGGACTGGATGATCTCCCCTCGATTGGTGACGGCATGGCTTGCAGCGTTTTTGGATCCAAAGAGGTGCTGAAACGCCTGGACCAATGGGTTGGACAGTGGTCAGTCGCCTGTGCCATGTCCAAAATATGCCAAAACTCACTGAACTGAACTGAAGAACTATATTTCTATATATTTCTTCCATTTTTTTCCAAGACTTTCACAAGTTTCCTGTGGTGCGAGTCAACATATGGGGGATAATGTCTGCCTTGGTTTGCGCCTGGGGCTGACACGTCGAAAGGAGCGCCAGCATTGGTTTTGGGGGAGAAATTGTGGGGTTCCCGTGATCTGATTGTATTGATGCAGGCAGCCGAAGAGAATATGTTTGATGGAAACAATGTCGTGCAGTAACACTTTGGGATTTAAACAATCTACTGTAATTGCATTTTGATTGAAGGTGCCGAAAGAGTTGAGAGATCACAGGTGGGAGTCTGTGAGTTCGGACTTCCGAGAAGCTGTCATTTTCTGGTTTTGCAAGCTCAGTGTTGGTGACGTTCCCACGTTTTTCATCAACAATCACGATTCCTGGAAAGGTCAAGAGGTCATTTGCATGGAACTAGATCAGGTGACTATCTCCATTCATAAAATACCCTTCCTTCAGAGGTTAGCCTTGAAGTTCCTCATCCAATCTCACCCAAACATCCAGAAATCCCATGGCCCTCCAGGACTATGGCTCCCAGGCCTGCTAGGGCTATATAGCGACGGCGCATGACCCTCTGGCAATCGAATATGACAAGGGAAAACCAATCATTTACATGAGGTACTGATGAGATAGGACTTGTCGCCTCTTATGAGATGTAGCTCTCTCAGGGGACCAGTCCTATCGCATGTGCCCACGGTTTGAAGCACTTATGGGGCGTTGGTTGGAGTATCAGTGCATTGTTTTGCCCAAACTCCCAACTCATGCGCGCTGGACCCACTCTCAGACCTGAATGCAGGTCTTAAAACAAATTCATAAACGATCAACATCTCATGTTTCGTGACACCAGCAAGGGCTGCTGAGATAGGAAACTACCAAAATAGTTTTATAACTTAACGCAACTGGTCCATACTGGTCCTATCTCACATGCTTTCAGGCCAGACCCCACACAATGGCCAAGGGTGAGGTGCTCAGAGTTGAAGGAAGCACAGCTGCACCATTCCCCTTGCCAGCAACGCCATCTTCTTTCCCCTACCTGCGTAAATCTTGACATGCCACTACGGGCTTTACTGAGGAGAAACAGGCTCAATAGCCTAGTAGCACTGATAAGACAGCAGGCGAGGCTGGCTCTGAACAAGGTAGGCACTGCAATACATTGACTTTGAGCAGACGAAGCAGATGCAGTTTGCATGGCTTTCGAATTTCCTAAGTCTCATACAAATACTCAATTCTGTATGTCAGCATTTTCCCATTTTCTCCTGTCACCTAGCTACATGTCTTACGTAGCAAGCCCTCTACAAGGCCGATATGTCAGCTGCGCATGCTTTTCCCATGAAGGTGTGAATAGACAATACGCACGTTCGAGTGGTACGGGCATCAATCCATCCTGCTACCAGCCTCTAAAGCCCTGTGCCTTGGGAGTTGAGGTGCCTTACTTGGTGGGTCACTGAGGTTGCCCTCTTTCCCAGAGACGATCTCCCTGACATTCCGAATGGAAGGGCACAGCCAAGGCTCTGTCAATTTTGATATTTTTGGGCTCTGCAAAAGATTGACGTTGAGACTGGGTGACACGCTGCACACGAACTGGGGGCATTCTTTGCTCATGGCACGTCGTGTGCAGAGGTGGGAATCATCAAAGAGACTGCAACACATACACACACACCACACAAACAGACAGACAGACAGACAGACGGACGGACGGACGGACAGACAGACAGGCAGAGAGAGAGAGAGAGAGAGAGAGAGCGACACAGACGAAGACAAGCAGATAAAGACACCCGAAACTCATGTGAGATAGATCTATAGATGTCGCAAGGTTAGGAAACTCGACACGTGGCCACACGTTGAGCACGCACTTGTGTGCACGCAAGCGCACACCCACGGCTCGCACAGGGTTGTCCTGAAAACTAGACTTTGGGTTACTTTCACTGTTTGTTGGCTGCACGGTTCCACAGTCTCGAAACGTCTAACAAATGCACAGCTGATCTGTCTCGAGCCCTGATTGACTTTCACTTCCAGTCTGAGCTCAGAAGTTGGTTGGGAACAACAACAGTAACATTTGGTTCGAAGGAGTGACCACATACGTTGCATCCTTGAATCTTGTGTTAACTGCCTTCGTGTTTTTTTTTGTATTTTTTTTTAAAACCCATCATCTGCTGAAGTTCCGCCAAGTTGAACCTGCATCAGGTTAAGACTTGCAGGGCACAAGGCTTTCAACGACCTGCCCCGCTTTGTGCACCTCTCAGATTGCCTCAAAGTGTTGAACCAGATGCCAGCTTCACTGGCCTGTGGGCCCGGTCCAGGACAGACTTGGCATGCAGGCTGAGCTGAAAGAGCCCTGAAATCTGGTCCGAGACTGAGGATCTGCAAGAATTTGGATATTTGTCGAAAACATATTGTGATGGCATATTCAAGTGGATTCATTTTGGATGTCCTGTCATATCATGTTTTCTTTCAATTCTGTGCTGCAAAATCAGTGCAGAGGAGGCAGAGTCCCACCTGCAGGCCATCATTGATCATTTTCGATGCCGTTGCCATGGAGCATTGACTCTTGCCTATTTCAATGTCTTTCAATGTCTTCTGCTTTAAATCGAAAGCTTGTGGTTGGAAGTGTCACACAACCCTGACAAGCCTGTGTTCCTTTGAATCCTTTTGAGCAGCTTCAAGAGTCTGCTTTTTGAGCGAGCACTGCGTCATGGCGGGCTTGGAAACAAACCTGGGCGAACTGTTGCTGACAGCAGCCCAAGCAACGCCTAGGTCTGTGTGTCTAGAGACCGAAGAAGCTGCATACACTTTTGAGCAGCTTGCCTTGATGGTGGCTAGCATCCGAAGAGCACTTCGCAAGGCTCTGGGTTTGGAGCCTTCTCACCCATTGCTGGATCTTCGTGCGCATGAGCGCCATGCAGATGAGCACGTGGTGACAATTGTGTTGGAGAGGGGAGTGAAGAACATTGCCTCTATCCATGCTGTGATGCTTGAAAAGTGCGCCTACAATGCCTTCGATGTGGCAGAGCCAGTTGAGAAACTTCACAGCTGGGTCGATATCTGCCATCCTGCGGTGATCATCTCCACTCATGCTCTTTGCACACACTTGCGCCTTGATGCTCTCTCCAAGTTCAACCAGTTCCGTCGATACATCATGGATGTTGATTGGGCCTTGAAGCGTCAGCCAATACCCATAGCAGCCAAGCGTGACCAAGAGGACGCAGACATTGAAAAATACGACTGGCCAAGATTCTCAGCCCGATTCTAGAGGGATTGGGTAGCACTACTTACCAGCTTGAGTGTGTGTGCTCTAATGTAAATGCTACTCCCAGTTCATTCCAGAATGCACATCTTTGCACACGCATGGTTCCATGGCATACATACCACCGCTTCCTAAGCTTCTAAAGGGTTCTAGATCTCACTGGTCCTTGCCCCAGGTTGCATGATGAAGCCATCCGTTACACCATGTTACACCCATGTTCCCCTGCCATCTCTCACAAACCTTGTTTCCGTCCTCACTGCCTCTGGGGTGCAACTGGAGCAAATCCTGCGATGAAGACGCTCCCTCTAGTTGGTGAAAAGCATAGCATGTGATTCAGCTGGATGGCTTATCATTTGAAGCCGCAGTTGGTGGCCACATCTATGACTTATCCAGCTGTTGGTTTTTCACGTCAAAGTCGAGTCGTTCTTGGCACTACACCTCGAGAACTAATGTATGTGCATATAGCATCCCCTCCAACCTCCACAAGTTGAAGCACCATATCCATCCATATCCAACGATATTTTCGAGATAGTTTCTGGCTAAAGCCGAGGTACGCCAAAGGGGACACTACCACGTGCGAGTGTGAAAATGATATTTCGTAAGGTATCCGAAGGCTAGGCTAAAGTTGTCCCATGCGAACGAAATGAGATTAGGGGTTCTGGGGGGTAGTGGCTGACGAGTGAGTGGAAAATCTCATAGATAGGTGGTGACTGTGTTTTTTTGGTCGCTTTTGCGTGTCATGCACCATGACGCAAATGGATGACGGTGGGGTATTTTCCCCCATGGTCCGCATCTAGATGCCTGTTTGGTCCGCACTTAGACGCCCTGTTGGTCCACATTTAGAGCCCTGTTGGTCCGCATCTAGAGGCTTTGAAACTTCATTGGAAAGGGTTCTAGAGGTTTGAAATTTCATTGGAAAGGGTTCTCGCGGGGCCTGTGTGTGTGATGTGTAGACCCTCAAGCCATGAATACGTTCGCCAGGCATGTTTCAGACTGCTTGGGGTTACATGTGCTTTAAAGGATACGCCGGACATGGTTCAGACTGCTTGGGGTTACATGTTCCTCAAGGTAGTATGAAGAACGAGCACGTGAGCTTTAACATGGGTGGTGATTTTGGCTTTTGTCTAGTTCAGCAGCAATGACCACTTTACGTATAGATCGCATTGCATAAGAAGGGACATTTACGATTTGTCTATCACAAAAAGGGGGGAGCGGCTGGCTTTCGTCCCTTCCTTCTCAGGTGGTATACATTGAAACATGTTGTTTTCCGCTCGCTTCACCTTGCACTCTGCATGGCCGTTTCCTTCGAAGATGATATGGATGTTTTAGCATGAATTAGCAACTCCTGTAGAAGAGTATCTTCGTACCATCATCATTTTGTATTGAATCCTCTTGTCTGCAAAGCGTCCCTTCCCTGTGAGTGTTGCTCAGCCTCACCAATCACAAGAATTTTTACAGAATAAGATTCAATGTCCTTTAAAGACAACCACTTGACTATATACTTGTATCAAAAAGACCCTGTCGTTGTCATTCTACGGATCTAAAGCAAATCAGTGAAGTATAATTTTTGAGAAAGAGCACTTGCAACAATTACCAGACCTTAGATGTGCCCTGCCCTCCTCCTCCTCCTTCTCCTCCTCCTCCTGCGCAAAACAAAATAAAACGTCAAACAACAACAATTTCCTGGAGGAAACCAATAGTTGAACCAAACAATAGAATTGCCAAGTCCAAGCAAGAACACTTTGACCAAATAGCCAGGCAAGAAGGGTTTTGAGCAAGGACATTAATCTTAGCAAGAAGCTTGGTACGTTGCCAACTTCTGTCCTTGAGTACTAGCTTTACTTTGCATGGCAAACCAGCTTCACTGAGGAATGACATGTTTAGACAAGAAAAAATGAATTCCGAATTTCCAGCAAGAGTAAGAGCACATTGAGCAAGCAACGTCTCCTGCAAATTGTTCTTTCAAATAAGAACCCGCATTGTTTTCACAGGGGCTTTTTTTTGCGCTTTGCCAAACAAATCAACTCTTCAGAGGTCTTTTGGCCAAGTATCGTTTCAAAAATACAGAAACACATATGTTTCACATGTCTTTGGTTGGATCGGGTCTCCCAAAAGAGTCTTGCTTTTTTTCTTTGAATTGTTTTTTTGGACAAGGACCTGTCAACTGTGGTTTTGTGCATGTGTGAGCAGGAACCTCTGACGGCAAATTTCCCAGCAATGATTTCCGCCAAGGCAGCCAAAAAAAAACAGAAACGATGGTAGGACTTGTCTTGAGCGACGTTCCCAGAAGACCTCTCATTTTCAACTTGTAGCAGTGCCACTTGCAAGCGATGCGGCGGTAGAAGCAGCAAGAAAGATGGAACACGTCCCAGGCAGCAAAACATGTGTGAGGAGGTCTTTGTGAAAGGGGCCGGGGTTAAACACTGAAAGCTGGTTGCTCGTGTTTTTTTTGATTTTCAAAGCCCATGGAATACAATAGGCGTGTTCCTGAGATTTTCCCCAGTACGTAGTTCCTGAGACGTGGGGTGCCCATTCCAACGGAAGGCTCCAGGCTCAAGTGCACCACAGTAGAGACAGCGTAAGGCGAGCGTCACACTCACCGCGCACGTAAGGAAGATCCTGTTAACGACAACAAGACTTTTATTCTTTCCGTTTTGTTTGGTCTCTGTGTTTATATAGCAATAGTCTCAACACCTGTCAGCCAATTGTGGAAGTGACATGTTGTTGCTGGTCTTCATGCAGCTAGTCAATCATCTCACGCCAAAGGAAGTGCACCAACTCTTGTATCAGAATCCCCATGTTGATTCCCCACACATACTTCAGAGCCCCTGGTCTATCCGTATGTTGAAGTTCCGGCAGGACCTCGACCGGCTGGCATACCTGATTTTCACCAGCGGCAGTACTGGCGAGCCGAAGGCCGTGATGATTCGACATGCCTCGGCCTTGAACGTGGCGCGCGTGTGGAGTGCAGCCATTGGACTGTGCAACTCGGATCGCTTTGCACAGATTTCCTCGATGTCCTGGGATGTTCACGTCATAGAGATCTATGGTGCAATGGCTGTTGGGGCGACAAGTATCACCTGTCCCGACCTGGTAAAGCAGTCTGGTCCGGATATGCTTCTGTGGCTGAGACATAAGCAGGTCACAGGCATCAGTGCGGTCCCATCACACTTGCGCACCATGGTACCTGTTGCTGGCAGCGATGTGTCAATGGACGTCAATCTCCCACAGCTCCGCATTGTCGATGTGGGTGGCGAGGCTTTGGGTGCAGATGTGGTCTCGACTTGGGCTCCTGGCCGTCTCCTGTTCAACAGCTATGGGCCAACAGAGATTTCAGTGGTTTGCACAGGCATTGACGTGCGGCTGGGTGATCCCATTACTCTTGGCCCCGCTTTGCCCGGCTATCAGTGCCACATTTTGGACCCCAACACCTTTGCAATGAAGGCTGTTGGGGAGGTTGGCGTCCTTTTCGTGGGTGGTGTAGGCTTGGCTCGTGGCTATCTTGGTGAAGAAGGGCAGACCAATCAGAAGTTCATTGAACTCCCTGAACTTGGCCGACTCTTCAACACAGGAGATCTGGCGTTCAAAGACGACGAAAACCGCTTGCATTTTCGTGGCCGGGTGGATTCCCAGGTGTGGAAAAGCAGCTTGTTTCTCTTTTCTTTCCCAAATGCGTAGCGAAGGGTCCGAAGGGTTCTCGTTTTCTTGCTTGGGGTCTGGGGGTAGTGTCTTGTTCCCTCGCGGGTCTCTAGTCACTAGATGTCACTAGTCGACCCCTCGCTGTTCCTAGTCGACCCCTCGCTGTTCCTATATGGGAAGTGCTGCAAAACGTGTCATGTTGACAGTGCGGAATGTCGCTAGAATGTCTTGCAAGAGTGTCTTGCAAGAGTATCTTCGAAGAGTGTCTTGCAAGAGCATCTAGCAAGAGTGCTTGCTTGGAAGAGTGTCTCACCAGTTTGTGTTTCAAGAGTGTCTTTCACGAGTGTCCCACAAGAGCGTCTTCTTCCTCAAGAGTGTCTTTCAAGAGTGTTCTGCACCTAATGCGCCCATTGAAAGGGTGCATTCGGTTTCGTGGAATCTGTCAGGTGTTTTTTTCAATACATCTTGCAGGCATTGTTAAGCTAAGTCAGGTTAAGAATCGTTGATCAAGAAAAAATCTTTGGGAATTTCCAATACTTTTCACAGGTGAAGGTGCGTGGCCTTCGGATCGAGTTGGAGGCCTTGGAGGCTGCCATCATGGACTTGGGGACTGTGAAGCATTGTGAGGCTCGGGTGTTGGATGGTCGCCTCGTACTCTTGGCATCTGGTTCTGGTTCCTTCCTTGAGGCTGAGCTGAAAGCCAAAGCTATGTCCTTGGGTCGTGGCTATGTCCTCAGTCAAGTGAAGCTGGTTGAGGACAGCGCTTGGAAGTTCAGTAGCGGTGGCAAGCTCCTGCGAAATGTGGTTCCATGGAGTGACAACGATGGCTGGGATGCTTTGGACTCTTTCCACCGAGTTGGTGCAAGAGCTCTTGAACTGGAGATTGCGGCGTGTGTAGCATTGCAAGTGAGAGGTGCTGAGTATTGGGACCGAAATTCACATTTTGTGGATGACCTGGGAATCGATTCTGCCGGCATGGGGCAGCTCTTGGGACAGATGCGAAGGAAACCCAGGCTGCAGAAAGTGGATCTGCGTGAGCTTTTCAATCATCCCACAGTCAGCACGCTGGCCTCATTCTTGTCTGAGCCTGAGTCCGATCCAGAAGAAGAGCCCTTTGATGGGGAGCAGACAGGGCAGAACTTAGTCAGTGCCATTTGGAAAAGTGTGCAGACCAAGCCACACAGCATTTGCTGCGAATTGCCATCCTCCTGTCTCAGCTATACGCAACTCTTTCGCTTGGCCACAGCTTTTCGGCAACTGCTGCGCAGAAATAGGACCACCACGAATTGCAAGAAAACACCAGTGGCCATTTGCGTGGACATGATGACCGAGCGAATGGCTGCAATGCTGGCAGTGCTCATGGAGGGTCATGCCTTTTGCGTCCTGGATGAAGGCCATGGGTTTGCTGACCAGTTGCAAGCCTTTGACGCTCAGTGCATATTGGCAAGCTCCAAGGATGTTGTTTGGGCACGACTACAAGAAATTTGCTACGAAGTTCAGGAATTGCAGTGCATCGATGTGAGCAGTGCTTCCTTACCATTGCAAGTTCGTGTGAAGTTGCCGGCCATAGATCCAGATGATGTTTGCTTTCAGTATGTACATGAAGATCTGGAAGGACATGATGAAAGTGTTTCTGGAGGCCAGACAGCTCTGACAGTTCTGACGGCTTCGCACCGTGCGATTCTGGAGCTGTTGGATGCCTGGCCCGAGCTCCAGCGAGCGCGAGCGGCTTCGCTGCCTGCGACGGCACACCTCGCAGTGCTGAAGATCCTCATGAGTGGTGGAGCTTTGGTGGACAGAGACAGCGTAGAGACATTGCTTTGCAACGAGTCAGGCCTGAATGGAGAGGTCCCTTGGTTGAGCCATTCTTTCAACATTTTCAGGATTGAGATTTTGGTTTGTTCCCAACTTTTAACATCCAGGCTTCAAAATACAGGAGAAGATTTATGTGTTTGGGCCATTAAGCAAGCGAGGCTTTCACGTCGTTGCCTGTGCTTGTTGGTCAGAAAAGGTGCCTTGTAGTGACAGCGGGTCAAGCGAGTGCCGCGAGGGACTCCCTTGTTCGCCGAACCCGCGACATGATGACAGCTTCGTCGCTGTTTCCAGGCCTTTTGGGAGCAGCGGCCACTCACAGCTTTGGTGAGAAGAGTTGGCCAAATTTTTGTGCTTGGGTTCAGGGAAGCATCATTCTGCTAGAGCCTGTGCTTATGGCAACTCGAATGATGTTGGCAGAACGTGTCTTGTTGCCACTGACGTTTGCCATACCTTTGTGGCAAACCTTTTTGCTGCTCTGGGCCGTCATCATTTGTGAGAAGATCCTTCGAGTCATTCTTTTGTTGGCTGCTAAGTGGGTGCTCATTGGACGGTACAAGGAGGCAAAACATGACATTTACAGTTTGTTTTACTTGCGGCATTGGCTGGTGGAGCGTATTGCAGACGGCACCATCATTGGTACCGCAACACCTCCAGGAACCAGCGTGGCCCACCACTTTCTGCGGAACCTGGTGCTGAGAGCCCTTGGTGCAGATGTGGCACTGACCTCTATGATCTTCACACGTGTTGTGGCTTTCGATCTTGTTTCGGTGGGCCATTTGGCCACAGTGAATGGCTTGAAGCACCTTACTGCTGTGAACTATGGAGAGGGGAAGATGGTGTTGAAATCCATTTCAGTTGGCCAAGGCGCTTTTGTTGGCGCTAACGCTGTTCTGGAGCCAGGGTGTTCCGTTGCTGCAGCAGCCCACGTGGAAGCCTTGTCCATGGTTCCTGCTGGCTCCAAAGTGTCAAGCCGAGTTTCTGGCGTTCCAGCTCAGGTCGTGAATTGCGATGCAGGTGTGGCAAACCCCCGAAGCATTCCTTTGGATGCAGACGTGCGCCAGTTCTGCAGAAATGCAGCCCTCATGGCCTCCACTTACTGGCTCATGGTGGTGCCGCAGGCCCTGATGCCTTTCATCATCATCATCATGATCTTTCAGCTCGAGGCGAAGCTAGAGTACCCAGAAGATTCAGAGAAGGAATTGGAACGCTTCGATTCCTTGCCCGAAGGTGTCCTCAGATTCTTGCCACAGCTTCCACTTTGGAGCTTTGCTTTTACTGTGCTGATTCTGGCTCTGCAGCTGCTTTTGACCGTTTTGATTTGCCGACTGCTTCCCAGAGTAAAGCCACCCTGTAGCTACTTGCTGACCAGCATCCGGGGCCAGATGGTCTCCCTGAAGATGCGGTGGGCCAACCAGGCCTCCAACTTGCTGAGAGATGCTTCGATAGTGCCAGTCTTCATGCGTATGTGTGGTGCTCGTTTTGGCCGAGGAGTTGCCATAGCCGAAGAAGTCGTGCTGCCTGACACATTGGAGGTGGGAAATGGTTGTTTCATTTCTTCCCGGAACATCCTCACCAGCGCGACAGTGGACCAGGGTCACTTCAGAGTTCCTTGCGTTACAAACCTTGGTCACTTGACGTTGATACGTTTTCTGGGAGCGAGCGTCCTATTTGTTATTTTCCTGAAAAAGCACGTGCGATGGGTTGTTTGTAAAGACCAGCCCCCCCAAGAAAATCGTTTTACATACGTCTTCTCATCCTCCTAATCACCCTCACTCTCATCCTCACTCTCATCGTCACTGTCCACCGATGTCGAAAGGCAAAGACATCTACGCCAAGGTTTTGTCTGATTGGCCAGAGATTCCAGTCACCCTTGTGGTGGACGGCCCCTGTGCGACAGTGGCAGGAACCAATCGAGAGTCCAGCAACTAACTCCCTTCAAGGTGTCTCATCCTCACTCTCATCACCCTCATCACCAATTATCGTTATTATCCTCGCATCATCCTCATCATTGTTAAAACATAGTCATCACTATCATCGTGTTCGTCATCACCAACGTCATCACCCTCATCACATTCAGTTTGGTTTCGACTGTGATTCATGTCCAACCTCCATGAATAGGGTTACAGATGGTTACAGTACAGTACCTGTCCAAATTTGATGAAATTCTTGGGTATCAAGGTGACCACAGCTTTGTGGGGAACGACAACTGCTTGCCTGCGGGCCTGCCAGAGGGCAGCTTCTGTGGTCTCAATACATCGCTACCAAAAAGGCCACAGCAGACAAATTTGGGCTACTTTGGAACTCCGGCGATGATCTTCAAACGCCCCAGCAAGGACGGCCCACAGGAAGCGACGAGTCTACCAGCTTTTTGCTGGTTTCACTTCAGCACCAGTGTGATTGACATCTTCATCCTCCGGGGCTTGAAGGGCATGGTGCTTTCAGCTTCATTTGTGATGAGCAGGTACAGCTTCCCTGCAACCACAAACACTTCGGTTCTTGGAGTCCTATTCATGGTGATGCTCATATACCTCATTATGAACGTCACATCCTGGCTCGTCTTTTCTGTGATCTTTGGCAGGCTCTTGTACAATGAAACTACCCCAACCAGCAGTGCTTACCACTCCACGACAGTCACGCGGTGGTTCACATCTATCATGCTCCAAAAACATATTTTCACTTCGCCCTTTCGTACGGTGGGAAGCTGCTGGCATGCAAATCACTTCCGGCTGCGAGGTGCTCGGATTGGGAAGCGCTTCTTCTGCGTGCATGACATTGCCCTGATTGATGCACCTTTCATCTCAATCGGAGATGATGTCATCGTAGACTATGATGCAGACATCAGGTGCCACTCTTTCGAGGACCGTCAGTTGAAGTTTTCTCCGGTCAAGATTGGCAACGGAGCAAGGATAATGGCAGCAGCCAAGGTTGCCAGGAGTGATGTCGGCGAGGGGGCCGTGCTACGACCATCAAGTGTCACTTGGAAGGGCAGCAACCTTGAAGCGAACAGAGTCTATCAGGGCGCACCTGCAGGGGAAGCGTGTGCATTCAAACCATAGATGGGCGCAGGTGCCTGACTGACAAGCGCCGGACTCAGGAGTTTTGACATCCCAACACTTCAATCGTTTGAAGCGGAGTGTTTGAAGTGGAATTGTGAGCGGCACCGCGGGTGGCGTATAGGAGTGTGCATTTTTTTTTTCAACCTTTGCATTTTGTACCCCCCATAGATTTGTTCAGGTGCTTGGTTTCAATTATATAGACAGACTTTAGTCTGGAACCTGTATAGTGCAGAAAAGTTCTTGAGCTCCCTGGCTGACAAGTGCTGGACTCAGCAGTTTACGTCCCCACACGTTAACCGTTCGAAGTGCAAGTTTTAAAGCGGAAGAGTGAAATGAACGGTGCTGCTGGAATAGGATTGCGTGTTTTTATTCGAACTTGGCATGGTGGCAATCCCATTTTATTGCAAAGATGCAGCGAAATTCTACAGGTTGGACAGAGACATAACGGACAAACCTCCTGCAGGTCTTGCATATACACTATCTTCAGCCCTTGGTGGGCGCAGATGAGGCCATGGGTTAGGGGTTGGCGCGAGAAAGCTGCTGCAATAGAGCAAAATTTCTAATCTCCAAGCATGTAGGCTTGGAAAGAAATTGGGTACATGGTGGTTGGTGAGACTGAAATAGACTGAACCTACGGGTTCCCCAGAGATTGACACCACTTTTACAACTGTAGCGTGCCTCTGGGGGATACACCTGACAGGGTTTAAGTCACTTGAGTTCCCTGCTCAGATATGGGGGTTTCTTAAGATGGAGGATCCCTAAGTCACCATGGGTGTTTCAATACTAAGTCATGGTGTAGAATGGCGCCCATGAGTCTCTGGCAATTGAACATGACAATGGAAACTCCCCCATTTAGGTCGATTCATGGATATGCTTGACGGAGCACGGTGCAGTTGGATATTGTGTGGCAACAACAGCTGACAATTTCACCGCATTACAAGAGTCACTGTGGCATTTGAAGGTGCCATAAAACGTGGGCGATGCCGATCTGTTTAAAGTATCCGTTGGTTCCTTCCAAGCACCGGGCCAAGTTGGGCAGAATTCGGTGTGCCGTCCCATGGCCTAGGCACTGGCCTTGAGGCTCGGCTTGGCATCCCATGCTGCCAGGCGTGGCAACGGGATGGGATGGGAATATCGATGGACGATGGGATGGGCATTGCTTAATACGAGACCTAGGACCTAGTGGGATTCAGTGAGCTCGCACTTCTGAGAAATCATTTATATTATTGTTTGGTTGTGCAGAAACATTGTCTGGATGTACAAGTAGTCAACATCTAGGATAACTGCAATGCATAAATCATGTGATTCCCCCATTTCAACTCTTGCTTCAGAGGTTGGCCTTGAGGTTCCTCACCCACACATCCAGAAATCCCATGGCCCTCCAGGAGTCTCCAGAGCGCCCAGGCGTGCTAGGGCTGCTCAAGCCAACTGACGAAATTGGTGCAGAATTCTATTCAGTACTGTTGAGTGGCTCGAAATAAAGCTCGGTTTTGAAACCATTACCCAATTATATAGTCAGTGAGTGATGGTGCGGAAGTACCCTGACCTCGAGGCCTACATTCCGACCAGTGAAAGCAGTGTGCATAGACCGTTTCTTAGATTCTATACTATATTTGGCTATGCTTGGAAGGGTTCAGGTGTGAGCACGGTGAAGCAACTTAGGTTGAGTGCGATTTGGAAGAGAACTGTCAGAATCCACAACAAGCAGGACTTAGAGCTACTTCCACTGACATCCACTCTAGATTTTTGAGGGTGTTGTACGGTGGTACCCGTGAAGAGACATTGGAGATAGTTGAAAAGCTTTGAGGGGCACTGATTCAGAGATGGTTGTGTTCAGCAGCCCGTGGCTCATGTTCCACATCGAGGGACCGGTGCCCCTGACCCAAAGAGCGAGAGCAGCGCCAAGCGCCCTTTGGAATCAGCGCCGTCGCGAGGAAAAGTAAGATGCTGTGGACATCATCATTCACCAATAATGATAATGTATAATAATCATCATCATTCAAACAATCATCAAATAATCATCATTCACCAATCATATATCCAATCATTATCTACCTGTCCTACTCTCGGGCTTCTGATCTCTGACAAACACTGATTCATCGCCTGATCTCGTCCCTTCATCGCCATGCCATGGGGTGTAGGATTCGCCATGCTATGGAAATGATTCCGATCTTCAGACATTTGCCGCTCTGGGAAAAACATGTCTGAGGCAACCATTCCGCAGCATTGAACATATGCAATAAACAAATGGTTGGTGCAAGCATCCAATTGCGATCTTACATTGTTCAGGCTGCCTAAAGTGAAATTACACAGTCGTCTCGTTGGGTATGTGTACGGTACATGTCATATCAACATATCAACGCCTTTCGAGCCGTTTCGAGCGATGGACTGCTCTTTGGATAACAGCCAAGAGCACGGCTTCCAAGCATTTTTGCAAGTGAACAGCACTGCAGTTGAAATTCATGTTATTGAATACACACGGACCTTGAAAGCCCTGAAGGTCCAAAGAGTGAGAGCGCCAAGCGCTGAAGAATCACAGTGTGGTCGGAAAAGAGGCTGTGCAGCATCTCATTCTTTCGCAGATTGGCTGTGATCTCCAAACTGAGGCTAACTCAAAGTTTCTGATGAATCAAAACAGCATTGAGCCTCATGACCTTGTACTGCGTGAAATTTGCACATCCATGGCCCATGCCATCGCTGCGCTTTTTGTGGCCAGCTTTGGAAGCTCAACGGCCCGCAGATAGAAATAGATCCGAACCTCGAATGTGGCGCCATGAAAATCCAGCTGCTGAGCCTCGTTTCGGCAGCTGTGGCTCTTTCGCTGCCAGATTTTCCCGCCCTGCCGGATTTAGTCAAAATAGTCAAGAACTCTTTCCATGGAAATTTTACTGCACAGACCGTTGAGGAGCCACAAGAGTTCCTTCCAACGATTGCAAAGATCAGGGCCATGACGGATCAGGAAAGGGGTGACCGCTGCCATTGGTTTCTTTGTGTTTTTCTCCTGGTCTTTGTTTGTGTTGTGATCGCAGGGACCGTCATCAGTGTATTGTCTAATTACGAAAAGCCGTTCTGAATAGCGAATGCTAATTCCTAATTACGAAAAGTGCATGTCGACTAAATGCGAATAGCAGCACCAGATACCACAGTGATTCAGATGCCAGCTTCACATGGGCCCGTGGGCCCGGTCCAGGACAGACTTGGCATGCAGGCTGAGCTGAAAGAGCCCTGAAATCTGGTCCGAGACTGAGGATCTGCAAGAATTTGGATATTTGTCGAAAACATATTGTGATGGCATATTCAAGTGGATTCATTTTGGATGTCCTGTCATGTCATGTTTTCTTTCAATTCTGTGCTGCAAAATCAGTGCAGCGGAGGCAGAGTCCCACCTGCAGGCCATCATTGATCATTTTCGAGACGGCTGCCATGGAGCATTGACTCTTGCGCATTTCAATGTCTTTTGAATTCTTTTGATGTCTTTTGCTTTAAATCGAAAACTTGTGGTTGGAAGTGACAGACCCTGACAAGCCTGTGTTCCTTTGAAGCCTTTTGAGCAGCTTCAAGAGTCTGATTTTTGACCGAGCACTGCGTCATGGCGGGCTTGGAAACAAACCTGGGCGAACTGTTGCTAACAGCAGCCCAAGCAACGCCTAGGTCTGTGTGTCTAGAGACCGAAGAAGCTGCATACACTTTTGAGCAGCTTGCCTTGATGGTGGCTAGCATCCGAAGAGCACTTCGCAAGGCTCTCTTGGGTTTGGAGCCTTCTCACCCATTGCTGGATCTTCGTGCGCATGAGCGCCATGCAGATGAGCACGTGGTGACAATTGTGTTGGAGCGGGGAGTGAAGAACATTGCCTCTATCCATGCTGTGATGCTTGAAAAGTGTGCCTACAATGCCTTCGATGTGGCAGAGCCAGCTGAGAAACTTCACAGCTGGGTCGATATCTGCCATCCTGCGGTGATCATCTCCACTCATGCTCTTTGCACACACTTGCGCCTGGATGCGCTCTCCAAGTTCAACCAGTTCCGTGGATACATCTTGGATGTTGATTGGGCCTTGAAGCGTCAGCCAATACCCATAGCAGCCAAGCGTGACCAAGAGGACGCAGACATTGAAAAATACGACTGGCCAAGATTCTCAGTCCGATTCTAGAGGGATTGGTAACGCTACTTGCCAGCTTGAGTGTGTGTGCTCGAATGTAAATGCTGCTCCCAGTTCATTCCAGAATGCACATCTTTGCACACGCACGGCTCCATAGCATACATACCACCGCTTCCTAAGCTTCTAAAGGGTTCTAGATCTCACTGGTCCTTGCCCCAGGTTGCATGATGAAGCCATCCGTTACACCATGTTACACCCATGTTCCCCTGCTGTCTCTCACAAACCTTGTTTCCGTCCTCGCTGGAGCAAATCCTGCGCCAATGAAGACGCTCCCTCTATTTGGTGAAAAGCATAGCTGCATGTGATTCAGCTGGATGGCTTATCCATTCATTTGGAGCCATAGTTGGTGGCCACATCTATAATCATCTATATATATTACTTATCCAGCTGTTGGTTTTTCACGTCAGTGCTCTTGTCTGCAAAGCGTCCCTTCCCTGTGTTGCTCAGCCCCAGCAATCAGAAAGGTTCCCAGTTTTTTCGCCACGGGGTCGATTCAGAAGCAATGGGAGCCATGCATGATTTCCGGAGAAGTTTCTTCAAAAGAATTGCGACAGAATAAGATTCAATGTCCTTTAAATCCTGTAAGGACAACCACTTGACCTCACTTGACTATATACTTGTATCAAAAAAGACCCTTTCGTTGTGATTCCTCGGATCTGAAGGCAAATCAGTGAAGTAGTAATTTCGACAAAGAACGGTTGCAACAAATGGCAGACCTTAGATGTGCCCTGCCCTCCTCTTGCTCCTCCTCCTCCGCCGCAAAACAATTTCCTGGAGGAAATCAGTAGTTTAACCAAAAAATACTTGCCAACTCCAAGCAAGAGCACTTTGACCAAATACCCAGGCGAGAAGGTTTTGAACAAGGACATTAATCTTAGCAAGAAACTTGGTGCGTTGCCAACTTCTGTCCTTGGGTACTATAGCTTTACTTTGCATGGTAAACCAGCTTCACTGAGGAACGAAATATTTAGTTTAGAGTTTAGACAAGAAACATTGAATTTTGAATTCCAGTAAGAGTAATCAGGTTATACTTATATGGCGGTTTGGGTTGGTGGTTTGGAAGTCTGGGAAATCAGAGTTATGTGCAAAATAGATTTGAAAAATGTTTTTTTTTTGTGTTTTGTATTTGTTTTATTTTTTGTTTAACTATATAATCTAATCTAATCTAATCTAATCCT